TATAACGCCGCACTTGTTTCCCACACAAAGAAGGATGGGGGCACTGTCTGGCTGCAAGACAGACTGGAGCGCGGGTTACTTAGAAGGAGTAGGACAAGTTCAGCACCACGGACAGCGCAAGTTCAGCACCACGGACAGCGCATCGGAGATCAGGACAGGGGAAATCAGCACCAGCAGAGTATACCCTGGGCTTTATTGCACCCTGTAGATAAACTTATCAATTCTCAACGTTTCCAAGTGGAAACTTGGTTATTTTGTTTCTGTCGGGATATTTTTTTTTTCGCTTTAGTCGAAATCGCAGAAGGAATAACTGACTTTCATTTGCAAGAAAGCACAAGCTCGCTCGACGGTGTGATCCTTACATCATCGTGTGAGAGAGCGCGCGAGAGAGAGAGAGAAAGAAAGAGAGAGGGGGAGAGTCAGAGCGCTTGCACCAGGCTCCTCTCTGTCAGTCCTCAGTGGCAAAGCGGGGCTGACTGATCTCACTGGCGATTTCGCCTCTCTGCTCGGTGGTCCCTCTCCCGTCGCCTGCTCGTCACACAGGTCGTGAAGATGCACCGGCGGCATCCTGCCCAGAGACCAACGTTATTACCGCTGGTTCTGTGGATTTTCTGCCACGTCAACAGTGTGCACGGAGCTCTGCCAACAACTCGTAAGTTGTCAGTGGTTTTCAGTGTTTGCGTGTGTTTCAGGATGTTTGCTAGACTGTTATGTCCAAAGCAGACTCAAGCTTTCTGTTGCTGACTATGGCCGTCAGGTTGCCTTCGGGATAGAAAGAAAAAGAAAAAAAAGAAAGAAAACGTTGTTAGCCTCAGAGTTTGGATATCCACGTGTTTATTCTCCAGAATGTACGAACATTTTATTTCCTTTATTTTTTTCACCGACAGATTTTTTGAACGGTTTGGATTTATGCATCTTGTTGCGATGTTCTGGCTGGAAGCTGACTTCTTTGACGGAATGTCAGGATTTTAGTTGAGCTGTTGTTGTTTTTCGGAACTTTGATGCTGTTTTCTGTGAAGAAAACAGTTTATCTCTCAAGTAATTTCAGATTTTTTTCCCCCCTCATCTTTGAATGGGAGCTATCTTTTCCCAAAACATTAGGAAAGCATTTTTATCTAAAGTTTCTGTATGATTACTTTGTTTTTCAGTTGTACTATGAATTGTCTTGCAACAATTTGAATACCTTGCCTTCTTTGACAAATTAAAATAAAATAAAAATCTAATTAGAAATGCTTCTTTTTATTACATTTACACCAACTGCATGTGAATCTGCCTGTCTATGAATATTTTTTTTCTAATAACTTGTTGGGTAATAGATGAAAAACGGAATAAGAAGATTGCAGTTTCATCATAAAAACATTTAATTTCTGGTTAATTATATATGCATTACACAATGTTTCTGACTATCTATAGTAACCTATGACTTAAAAGTCCTTGACTGTTACCGAAAGTAATCAAAGCGACTTTCTGGTGATAGGATGGACCTTGCATGCTTGCTTCTGTCACCCATTATAGCATCTTTCATCTTTTGTTTCACTGAGATTAGCCGCGCTTCCTTCGATTAACGTTTTGCTAACAGAGACTCAGCCGAAAGGTTCAGAGAGTTGAATCCCCCGGCGATCGCTAGTGTTTCTCCGGTCCTGGATGAATGTTCGTGGGGTCGCGCATCATTAATCATTCTATCTGACAGGCGACAACAGGGAGACGCTGCTGCCAGCGATTTGCGTTGGTGCGTTTAAGCTGTGTATGTGAGCGGTGACAGAAGACGGAGTAGAAAGGAAAAAAAGTTAAAGAGGATACAAAACGTGTTATTTGAACTTCGCCTTTTTCCTCATTTCTCTCCCCCCAGAGATATCTTTAGAAGAATTGCTGACTCTGCAAGTGGGAAGCTTGACGGAAATTCTTAGTTCATGGGCAATTTCATTGTCTGCTTATTTTGCAATCTTCGTATCTATATTTGCATCTCTATCAGAACTTTAAAGTAAGCATACATATGACACAGGCACGTTAAACAAATTAAAAAAAAAATATTTCACTGCATATAAGTGAGAAAATATTGTTTCCTTCCTATGTTCTACCTAGAGTCTATTAAGGTTAGTGCATGCATGTTTAGTCAGTTGCATGTTTGCTTTTATGTCAATCCGTGTTGTCTTTGAGCACATAATTAACAAGAAATATTTCAGTTTTCTATATCCTGCCAAAACATTATCAAAGTATTCGTTAATCTGTTGTTAAAGGAGCTCAAAGAAGTTTTTTTTCCACTTACCATTAAGATAAAATTCCCAGTACCTTCCTTTTCTATTTATAAGTTATAACAGTAGATATACAACTGTAGATACAACATATAATAATCAAGTCTGCACATTTCTATCCTCAAATGGGAGGTAAAAGATCGACTTTATTGTAATTTACTTGATACTCAAACTAATACTTTAGTGGTTATTTGACCTTGAATGTAGCCAATTATCAGCTTTGCTGCTATGCCTTTCAATTTCTGGTTGTGTTTGTACCATGAGATTTCCTTTTAAGCATGTCCAACCATTAGATGTAAAAAGTACCTTTATGTTTGTCTCTCACACTGTTGGCCAAATGGGGTACAAAAAAGTCTGATGCATAATGAGATTAGTGTCTCTCATAGCTTCTATGTGTGTAGATGGATTCTTACAATTATTACATTCATTTTTTTGTCAAAAAGGAAGCATTTAGTTGCTTTTTTAAGGCGCAACACAATCTTGGTTTCCATGTCTTTACTCGTTTCTCATTAAACAACATAGTCTCACTGAAAAATGTTTGCATAGCCAGGTGGTCCATAAGGAAAGTGTGGCATCCTCACAGAAACAACCCCATGTTTAAGTCAGGAAATTAATTTACATTGGCTTGCAACCAAGTTACATTACTGCCGAGCTACTCCTAGCAAAAAAGAAGAAAAATGGATGACCATTTCTCTATTTAATGTGGGTAAATACAACAGTTAAAAGAAAGCATGTAAATGTATGTTATTTTTAAAGACATTTCTAGATGGATGTATGCATAATATTGTCTTAATTTTTGTTCAGGGAATATAGATTATCCATCCATCTTCTCCCGCTTATTCCGTCAGGGACACGGTGGGGACAGTGCCTATCTCCGGCTGTCTATGTGCGAGAGTTGGGGTATACACAGGAGATGTTCCAAGTCTGTAGCAGGGCAACACAGAGACACACAACCATCCACAAATGCACTCACACTTAAGAACAATTTAGAGAAGAAGCCATAACCTAACAATGATGATTTTGGAATGTTGGAGGAAGCCGAAGTACCTGAAGAGAACCCATGCATACACAGGGAGAACATGCAAACTCCATGCAGGAAGTCACAGGGCTGGAAATGGAAACCAGAACTTTCTTGGTGCAAGGAAAAAGTGCTACAAACTGCACCACCGTGCAGCCTGACTATGGATAATCTTTTAATTTAAAGTTTTCCCAATAATCTTTGCGTCTCCTAAAAATATATATATATATATATATATATATATATATATATATATATCATGTCAATTTTCTATTTTCCATCATAGTTAACGCGGTTGCTATGGATCCAGCAATTATTACGGCACAAGCATTAACATTCCCTGTTGTTTCCTTATGTTGAAAGAGTAACATATTGAAGAAAGCATCTCATTTTACAAGAATTTAAATAAATCCAAATTACAATATATATTTATATCAATACCAAAGCTAAGTTAAATTATTTCATTTTTATAGAGGTTTTATCAATCAGTTGTTACAGATGTTAATAGCTGTAGGTAGGAAGTATCCCCTAAGCAGACTGTCAATTTGTCTTGAATAGCCTCTGACTGAAGACATTCATACATACATTGTGGTATGATCATCTTATAAAGAGGATTCTTAAGATTTTTCATGTTTTTTTTTGTTTTGTTTTTTTCTTTTTTTTCATAAAATCCTCTCTAGAGCTTCAAGAAGTATCCCAAGAAAAGAGCCAGCCTTCTTTATAGACTTTAAGTATTTTTTCTGACCCTTCTTAAACAGATGATTATAGAAAATATCACAACAGGTATATAGAAAATGTGGTACATCCTATTAGAATAATTAAAATACCAAAGCTTCCTTGTGAAGAACAGTCTGCTCTGCCCCTTCTTGTACGCAGCTTCACAGATATGTTTGCTAGTTGGCTAGTTTCCATCCTGGTGAACACTGAGGTGTTTACTCCTCACCAAACCCACTTCTAAGTCAAGAGGTTCTGAAATTGTTAAAGAAAAAAATACTCTATAAATATAGATTTGTAGTGAGAATTATGGGTCATAGTTTCATAATCTTCATCCAGGAAGACAATCTGTAGTTATTGTTTATTTGCCAAAGACTTTGTAAGTAATCACAGGATATCACATACAGAAGCTCAACAAGCTAATACACAAACTTGTCTCTTCTGTGAACTTAACCAGAGCTGACCTTAATAGAAATATTTCTTTATAAAATGTAACAACAATAAGACGGACTGCCACATGAAATCCATTCTGCCTACAGTCATTAACATCTGCAACTCACTGAAGAAACCCTGTAAGAGTTTCAACACCATATAATTTCCCTTTGGGATTAATAGGGTGTTTTAGATTGAGTTAGACTAAATAAAGTAGGGGAATGTTTGGCCATTTTTTTGTTTTTGCTGGGAGAAACTCTATGATCACGTACTGTAGCCTTGTTGCAAGCTCATATAAATTGATCGTCCAAATAAAGGTGGGGTTGCATTTTTCTTAGGAGCCAAATTATATCAATGCCACATATCTTTTGAGGACCAGTGTTAGTAATAGTCTTTAAACCGAAACAAGGTAATCTCTTTTAGTCTATGTTGTAAAAATTGCAGATTTATTTTTTTATTTTTTTATGTTGTAAAAGTTCTAGATTTTGTTGCTGTTATTAATGTAAATAAAATTAAAAAAAATAATATAAAAAAAAACATAATTTCATCAGAGGACTTTGAGGCAAATGCTTAAGAATCTTAGGATAGCAGTACTTTATCTCAGTTTTTTATTATCTTCCATACATATGCTTTGTTCCTGTGAAATTGAATTTTTTTTTGAAGTTGCAACACATTTACTTAACACTTTGGAAAACCTTTTTCCCTACCATTGTCTAGTGCTTATACACATGTCTCTAGCATGCTCCCATTAGGGGGTGATAATGATAGGATTAAGGCAGGAGGAAGCAGACTGGTTTGGCTCAGATTAGAGAAGCTATATACTTGGATAGTTGCTATGTTTGGCTGTTTGTGTGTGAGCAACTTCCTTTGTATTGGTTGTGTCTGTGTCTCTGCATGCATGTTTTCACTAGGGTATAAGCTAAGTGAATGAGAGCTTCTTGTAAAAGGACTGGCTTTAATTACAGTGCCATGTTTTCTCTACCAGCCATCTAGGTAGTTGGGTTTGACTTTTAAAAAACTCCATCCCCCTTTTGCACTTCTTTCTTTTTAACAGTTTTGCAGGTGAAGACTTTTTTTACTCAGTGTTCTACTCTTTGTTGCCCCCCCAAAAATCCTTTCAGCTACAATAGAAAAACACACAAAAAAAACAAACAAAAGCAAGCTGTGTTCTGTTACAGTACCTTTTTTTTAAATTGCTTTACTCTTAACTACCTCAATAATTCATCTTTCGCACAA